TCTCTCTCTCTCTCTCTCTCTCTCTCTCTCTCTCTCTCTCTCTCTCTTTGAGTTGAATGATGATGTGTACGAGTTTGTCTGACTAAAGTAACCTCTTGTGACTTTCTGCGGGGAAAAACTTCTTCCGGAACTCTTCCATTAGTTTCCTGGGTAATCCCCCGATGTAAGGGAGCCCAACCATCTTGTCTTGTGAACGGTGGATGCGCGTGTACACTCTCCCGATCCACCTCTGACATGTGCATCGTTGCCATTTTCGCACCTTCCACAGTGGATGTATGTATAGGGATGCTTGTATTTTCGCGTTGATTAGACACAGATCTTAACGGAATTTTGTTCGAGAATGCAAGAGTGTTTAAATCTGTCGTCCTGAATGCACTGCGCATGCCATCTGCCTTATGCTGCACGACATCTGCAGATAGTTTGTAGGGCATCCTCGAAAAAGCCAGGCGCCTCGTGTTTTTGTTGATCTGGTCTGCCGAAACTGAGTCGCGGGTTGATCCCTCGAAACTCCAACCCGATTAATGCATGCCTCCCTCGTGTCTAAAGGAAGGAAAATACTGGTTAGTTCCTTTTTTATTGTGCCTTGGATGACGTCTCGAGGGTTTTCGCAAACTCCGTTCGATTGATATGTGGACTAACAGTCGCTACTCGATCGGGCGCCAGCCTTCCGTATCTCCCTCACCGACGCGCCCCTTCCCCTACAACGAGGAAAGGACACGTGTATGTGAGTGAGACGTACGAAAAGCTGTCGCACGGATCGGTGGACAATATTACTTCCCTCTTGAAAATCGTTGTTCCGGGTTCGTGGATGCAGGCTTTGTCATTTTGGATACGCACTTCCCACCATACTCAGTACTATTGCCATTTAACGAGCTGATCGTCATTCCGTGGACGGCAGTGGCGCCCCATTGGCCTTGAACCCTCTGCATTGAGTGTCAGCGCTTCGATCGCTACGAATCAAAGGGCTTCCACAATCGGATGCGGAGTGAAGACAAGCACAAGGAAAGAGCCACGCGGCTGAGACCATCCACGTCAGACTCGGAACTGACCAACGAGCGACGTAAGGACTTGATACGAAAACGGGATACGCGGAGTGTACCGAATCCCTTCCGCTCAAAACGAAAATCCGTAGCGCGGTGGGAAGCTCGACAATACTTTTTTGATTGAATTTGGATTTTCTCTTTTCGCGCCGTGCCCGCGCGCGCATTCCGCGACGCGCGAAAGCAACCGACTTACTTCATTGGGCCAACACGGGGGATTTCAGTTTTGTCTGTGTCCCCATACTTAATTGTCCAAAAATCCTTGGCACACCCCATCTTGCTGTTTTTCTGGGCCTTCTTTCCACACCTTTAGCACTCCGAAAGAAAGACACCACGGGGCGTGAGGTTGGTATCGGAACCGACACGTGTCGGTTCTGATGATAGTAAGTCGAGCTGGCGAGAGGTAGAAGAAGTCCTCAACCTGCTCGTCGAGATGGCCTCGTGACCAGATCAAGATCTGGTGCGGCTAGACTAGCTATGCCAATGGCTGACGGTAACATAGCGCCCCCCAGGGTGGTTGTTAGTATTCCCGCCCCTTTTCCTTTCTTTCCTAATCATACCCACCCCGAAGCTTGGTTGGAAGTCATCGAAGCTCAAGGATATGGCGCGGGAGATCTCCTCCGCGTCCTCACCTTGCTGCTTTGCAACACAACGCATGATTGGTTTAGGAAACACACGTGGGTAGATTGGAACACCTTTAAGCAAGCCTTCTTGGCCAGATTTGATACAGTCGGCGAAGATGCCGCCTGGTATGTGCTTAAGACTTGACCGCAAGGACCAGGGGAATTGCTGCCCGACTTTGTGGATCGATTCCAAACTACGTTAGACAAATCAGGGCGAGATGAAAAGTCCGCCCGAGATTTGTTCATCGATCATTTAGGAAGTCCGACGTTAAAAGGTAAGCTGCAGAAAAAGGTCCCCCCTAGAACGCACCAGCTATCCGCTATCATCACTAAAGCACTTGAGTTAGACCTGACGGATACCAAGAAATATATCAGTCAGGGAGACGAAGACATTACGGACACAATTCAGGATGTAGCGGCGAAACGACGATCAAGGTTGCAAGTGGTGGAACGATTCTACCCCCGGCCTGATCATGACCTTCCCGAAGGGGATGCTTTTGATATCCCGTCAGTTCCTTCTCCCCCTCCTCCGACTCTCTCAATGAATCAACAGGTAGCAACTGTTAAACCCAGAAGCTCTCAAGGTTCCTCCCCTATGGCCATAACAAACATGCACTTGACACAGATGATCCATACAGCTACCACTAAACAATCAGAATGGATAAGCAACTTGGTCCAAGACTCCAAATGCAGGCAGCTCACATGGATCGATTGGAATAGATAATGAGTAGACTAATTAAGCCCAACCCGGCTCCTGCTCGGCCTACCCCTGCATCGTTCCCGCTTTTGCCTGCTCTGCCTGCACCCGGACATGCACAACAGTTCCCTCACGTAGCCAACCTGGCAGGGAAAATCGAGTGTTACAATTGCAAACAGCCTGGGCATTTTGCACGGGACTGTCCGCAGCCGAAACAAAATCAGTCCCCGCCTGCTGCAGCCCCCGTAGCTCTGAATCAAGGATGAGTGGCCACACTAATGGATACGGCTCGAAACGAGGAGATCATTGCATACGCCCCCGAACGACCTTCCCCCTCAATGGCGGTTGCATCGACCTCGGGAACTTCTTCTTCCGAAGTTGCTGACGTGGTAGATCCGATCGAATACCTGCATCTCGCCGGCACGATCGGAGCAATCCGACCAGCCCACGACGATCTTGAATGGATCGAACGCGAATCTAACCCCGGACCACAGTTTCGAACGGGAGAAATTGATGTACTACGAACGCTTAAGCAACTGGACATTCGTGTTTCGGTCCTAGTGGGACATTTGCTCACCATATCCGAAGCAGCAAATGACAAGCTGCTGCAACAATGTCAGAAGAATCAAAAGCGTTTTACATACCAGCGCATACAACGAATGTTGAAAAAGAAGAAGGAAGACGGAGCGGAGGATGTGGCACCGCCTGAACCCGAAGTCGCTGAACCCAAAGCAGCGCGAGTAGCCAAGATTTCTTTAGCAGAGAACGATCATTTTGTAAGAGCTCGACCAGTATTGTGGAAAAGCGCGGAATGTGATTGTGAAGTATGGGGCAAACCTTTTAACGCTCTCATCGATACCGGCTCGTCTGCGGTCGCTATATCATTAGACACGGTAAAGAGAACGGGACGACTCAATTCGATTCTCCCTCAATCTGACAAAGAACATTACGTCTCTGCCGACGAGGAAGCAATGAATATTGTAGAAGTCATCGAGAATGTGGCCGTGAAAGTTGGACGAGTGCACGTCCTCGTTAACGCTTTAGTCATAGATGTGCACTCATATTCGGTGCTGTTAGGACTACCTTGGGCAATGGTGGTAGGTGCCCGCATGCATTTCGATTCCAAACAGTTGGTGCTCACACAAACAGGAGGAAAGCCTCAGACAGTCCGGTTGCGAATTTCAACCCGAACAGTAAAAATGAATCTTAATCCTGCTCGGATAGGGATGATTCAAGGTCCCGATCACGAGGAATTTTCATCCCTGGATAATAGTAGCGGATTCGAAGAACAGGAGTGCGAAGAAGAGATGCCTAGTGAGAGTGAATAGAAACACTCGGTCGAGCTTTTCGAGCACGAAGCCCCCGAGGAATTTCGGATGGTTCCCAGAGTCGCCCGAACCTTCCACTTGAGTCTGGAAGACAACGTGCTCGCACCTCCGGAAACTCAGATCAGTCCTTCGACCTTTCTCGGAGAACCCATCTTACAAATATCTGACCTGGCAGATGATTTGGAACCCCCTCGCACTTTGTACGAGGGAACACTTTCCCTTCGAGCACGCTATCAGCAGGCGAAACCATACCTGGATATGTCTGTTTCCCCTCCAAGGTCACTGCTTACGACAGGAACGACTGTCGCTCTGATTAAACAAGAAGCCGAAGCCCCTGTTGACAATGTGCCCGATCTGATGCAGGAAATGACGGATTTAACAGGACTAACCGTGGAAGAAACCACGACTGATTCAGAGACTGACACCGAAGTTAAAGAGACCGAGATGATTAGCCCCGCTGAATCCCAGATGATTGCGACTGTATTTTTTGTCTGCACTAGCAGTTCCATTTTCTCTAGTGTCCATGACCAACAGAATCGGCCTGTTGATTGGATCGACCTACCCCTGGAGATACTTGACCAACCAACAGTCACCCTACCGAATCACGTCCCCCTGGAATTTTGAAAATCACTAATTGATATCTTAAATGGGTACGTGGAGGTATTAAGTGTGCGTGATAATGATATCGGACTGTCCAACGTGATTGAGCATGCTATCCTTACGAGGGATCACCCATTAGCTGCGTTCCTTACCGATACTCGCCAACCCAAAGGGCCGCCGCGTTTCAGCGGATCAAGGAATTCGAAGCTAATGGATGGATCGAACCCGCTATAGGATCATGGTCGTTTCCTGTGGAAAGAGTGCCCAAAAAGGCCGGAGGGATTCACATATGCATCGATTATCGAAAGCTGAATGATATCACGATCAAAGATGTGTATCCCCTTCCCCGGATTGATGAGTTGTTGGATGCGATTGGGAGTGCGCGATTTTTCAGTAAGTTTGATGTTCGTCATGGGTTCCACCATCTTCTTGTCCGGAAGGAGGATCGTCCGAAAACGGCATTTGTGTTGTTCGAAGGCACTTGGCAATGAGTTCGATGTCCAATGAGGATCTGCAATGCTCCTGCAACCTTTCAGCAAGCCATGAACATGGCTTTCCAGAACTTCGTGCGGAAGACACGTCTGGCGCAGAGTATCATCAACTATTGCGTGATTGTGTACATGGATGATATTCCGGTGTATTCGAGTTCCTACGAGGGGCATGTGCAGCACATCGAATGGACGCTGCATGCATTGAGAGATGCCGGTTTCAAGGTGGCACTTGAGAAATGTCAGTTCTTTCTCACCACCATTTCCTTCCTGGGACACGTGGTGACAGACCAGGGGCTCAGACCGGAACCGCAAAAGGTGGCAGCAGTGAGAGACGCGCCTGTGCCCACGACTATCACACAAGTTCGCGCCTTTCTGGGCCTGGCCTCGTACTACCGAAGGTTTATCAAAGGCTTCGCGGCTATTGCGGGTCCCCTCACGAATCTGCTGACAAAGGACCAACCGTTGATTTGGACGTCAGAATGTGATCAAGCGTTTTCGAAGCTCAAGGCAACCCTTATTTCGGCTCTGGTCCTTATAAGACCGGATCCTGAAAAACCTTTTGTCCTCATCACGGATTGGCAGCCGGAGGCAATCTCAGCGATCTTGGCCCAGGTGGGACCAGGCGGACTCGAATGCGTGGTGGAATACGCGTCTAAGTCGGTGTCTGCTTGCAAGCGCAATTACGCCGCCCCGACAGGAGAATGCTATGCGGCTCTGTGGGGAATCAGTCACTTTCGAGCCTATTTGTATAGGCGGAAGTTCATGTTGGTCACCGATCATGAGCCGTTATTAGCCCTGAAGAAATCTAAGGATTACTCGGGCATGATCGGGAGGTGGGCAACGGTGCTACAGAGCATGGACTTTGACATTCGTCATCGGAAGCACGAGAAGCACGGGAATGTTGACGAGTTGACACGACTGCACCGACCCGAGAAGGTCCTCAAGAGCGAGGAGGTGATTCCATGGAACGAGCCGAAGGACGAGAACGGACCGCGGTACGAACAGGTGGAAATTCTGTCGAAGGAGTGAGTGACACGGAGATTTGTTCCTCTCTCCCTTCGGCCCTGCTCTCTCTCTCTCTCCCTTTCTCTCATCCCCTCGCATTATGACTACCCCACCTGTCTCCGCGACCCCTTCTTCCCCTACTGGTTCCAACCCTCTCGCCTCCTCGGCCTTCTTCGCCACCCTTCCCGATAAATTCTGTTATTTTTGCACGTGTATTACACGAGTATATGGGGTGAATTGTCATCCTTTTGAGACAGGATTCGTTGAGTGGTTGAACTGTGCCACGTGTGTCAATCGCGCACACGGTGCATGTGTTCGATACCGAACAAATAGTAAGGAATGGAAATGCCCTCTGTGTAGAACGGACAAACTGCCTACTGAGGTTCGATTCGAGGCTGCCCGTACGTACGACCCTGAATATGACAATAAATACCGACGAGCAGAGGTCTGGACGGATAAAATCCTATTAGCTAAGCTGGCTGGTTTACCATTGGATCATCTCACTAAGCACGACAGACGTCGGGCTACTGAGAGATCTCGGGATTATCGATGGATCAACGGTCACCTAGAAAAGTGTAAAACTGACGGATCGGGTTTGTGGTTGACGGATCCTCATCCATTCTAGAGATATGATTGGACCCGATCTGCTCACGAAGAGCAGGCCGCTCACTTCGCGATACGTGTCACAGAGGCAACTATAGATCAGAATCGATGGTTATGACTCTAATATACGGGACGATGTCAGATACGTAGTCGCCAACTGTGTAGTCTGTTCCGCCGATCGTGCCCCAATAAGGGGACCAAACACGATAGTACCGACAGAAGTTGAGCGCCCTTTCCAGCGAGTCAGTATGGACACGACAGATATCGACGTGCCACCTGACCCAAACCGTTGCGAATATTCCATCCTTTTAGTTTTAATAAACCATTTTTCCAAATACATCAAGGTATACCCCTGCAAGACCCGTAAGGCCGCAGAGATAGCCACGTACATCGATCGGTTTCTATATACTCACCTCGATACGAAAGAAATTCTAACCGACAATGGGTTCGAATTCAAAGGCGAGGTAGAGGAATTACTCGCACGACGAGGCATTACGCTTCGACACACGGCACCCCACGTTTCCCAGTCGAACGGGTTGGCCGAAAATGCCAATCACATGATTAAGACTGCCCTTCGTAGAAATTTAGCGGCGCGTGACACGCGTCCTTGGCCCGAGATCGTATACCAAATCGTCGGAATTCACCGGGCCACCCCTCATGAATCCACGAGGTTGACCCCCTTTCAGCTTCGCACCAATAGCTTCCCATGCGTCGATTACCGGGGTAACTCATAAATTGCCGAAGCAGGGGGTGGAGACACGCGTGCTGCCCTTAAGGCCAAGGTCAAAAGGTACGTCGATTTAATGGAAAGGGTCGTTCCGAAGCTAGCCCGAAAGAGACAGAAAATGACCAATCTAGCCCACGAAAGGCAAGTTTGTAGCTACGAGGCCCGAAATGGAAACGCTGGTCCCCAACATCAATATAAATTTGGGGACCTGGTACATGTACGTAAATGTGCACGCGACCGGAAACTCGCTCCCAAGTTCTCTGGCTGTTTTCGCGTTGTCGAGCTCGGACCCAACGACGCTAACACGGCGCGCATCGTGCCCGAGGCCATCGCCAGCCATAGCTCTGTCCCCATCGCCCGATATACCTCTTACATTCGTCCCCTCCCTCCCTCTGATCTCCCTCCGCCTCCCTCATTTGCTGAAGAAGAGGACGACGACGATCTAGCTCTCGCCTCGTCCTCCCCCTCCTGCTCCCATCTCTCATCTTCTCCCCTGTCCTCGCCATGAGTTTCATCACGGAGCAAGCCCTTGGCGATCATCTGCTGCAGCCACGTGGCTACATCTCGGAGATCCGGCAAGTTCGTCATCCGCGGCTCAGCCCTGACCTTCGAAGATTGGCGCAGTTCTTCTGCACCGAGGGAGTGTGTGCCGCTGCTGCGTTCCGATTCGCCGGGAGTCCGCAGGCAGTAGTATTGGCGGACGTGGTGGCACTTCACTGACGGGCGGGGACGAGCCACGTCACCACATTCGCTGCTTTTAGCGGCGACATCAGCACGGTCAGCCCACTTCGGCATACCGCGATCTTGACCTCTTTACGAGAGTGGACGCATCAGTTGTCAGCAGAGTGGCATCACGGTCTTGCGCGTCCGGGGAACAATCTGGTCCCGACGCCCGGGACTGACTTCGACGGAATTCGCACCTCTCCGCGCCAGCCGGTAGTCGCGCTCCCCACCCTCATCCCCTTCCAACGCCCCCAATGAACCGCGCCGCTCCCCTCGCTCCCCTCTCCACCTTCGGTCTCCCCTCTCTTTTCCCCACCTTCTGGCAATCCGATCTCCATCCTCGCCTTTCTTTCCTGCTCGAGCCTCTTGCCGTCCCAGTCCTTGATACCGGGCATTGGCAGGTGTGGCACGAGACATTTGTCGATCTGTCTGTGTGCTTGGCCCGAGTGCAGGTGACGTGGACGCGGACCAGCGAGCATCCTGCGTGCATCAAGTACCTGGAGTTGTTGATCCTACAGGCTTGGAGGACTAACGTGGAAGGTGATCTTCTCGGTTTCCTCTTCGGATCGGTGCGGCCAGGCCATCGCCAGCCAATTACTCAAGAACTCGTCGTCCCGCTCGCACAACTGGTTGACGACCTCTCTCTCGACATCGTTTCGCAAAGTGACGAAGTCCGGCTCCGCACGTCATCGCGAGGACATTAGCGCCGTATTTTCAGTGGACTGCATGCTTGGAAGAACCCGGGAGTGAAAGCACTCTGCCGTCGCGGCAGGAGTACTTGAAGCCGTACTGAATCATCGATCGTGCCTTCTACCCAAAGGAGGATCTTGAGGACGCGCTTGAAGGGGAAGAAGAAGCCACCGAAGAAGAGGGCGACGAAGAAACGTCGGAGGAAGGAAGTTACAGTGAGTACACTGAAGGGGAGCAGAGTGAAGAAGAGGAGGAGGTAGAAGAAGAAGACGAAGGGGAGGAAGCCGGATTGGAGTGGGAGGATTTGTCGGAAGAAGCGGCGCGCACAGGCACAGAGGCGGAAGATCCCGAGGCGGCACGTAGAAGGGAAGAAATCACCGTTGGGAAAGCCAGCTGGAGTTCGCCAGCGGGGCGAGCCTGTGCATCAACGACGACCCGACCAGGGATCCTGAGCCCCCCGAGCCCGAAGATGGCGGATCAGCAACCGCGGCTCCAAGCGCATCGCGACGGAGACGGAGCCGATCCCCCTCCCCCTCCACCCCAGCCCGTCCCCTTGTTCGTCCACGTGCCGATGCGGGGAATCGGCCTTCGTCCCCGGTCATTATCCCGTCGTCCCCTTGATTACCTCACCCTCTGCCAGATCTCTAACCCCGTCACCTTCCCTCGCAACCCCTTTCCTCCCAATACCTTCCGTCACTTTTACTCCACCCGTCTCGCCGTCACCATCCATCCCCACCCTTCCCTTCTATGCGCGAACCCCACGTTCTGTTTGTACGTCCTTTTGTTCAGCGCTGCATGGGAACATAGTAACGCAGTAGAAGTCTACAGCGTAATCACAGGAACCATCCCCGCGTGTCGCCATCACGAGCCGTTTCGCGCGGCACTCTTCCGCACTTTCCCCACCCTCTATCCTCATTACCTCGCCTCTCTCCCTCACATCGGCGACCGATTTCCCCGCTTTCATTGGATCATCCGCTACGAGGATCTCCCGATCACAGAGGAAGGGATGGGCCGTTACTTACCCCAGCTTCCCCCCAACCCTCCCCATCGACACCCCCCCATGTATAATGTTTACTTTCCCATCCCCACACGGCGTTGATCCCCGCCACGTGTCCTCCGAGCAGTACGAATCAGCAGTTTTGCGAACATCACACCATTGACGATAACATCAACTTATGCTCTGATTCGATGGACTGCGCTGGACTGGGGGTGCAGAGCACACGGAGATCTGATGGACCATGACGGTGCCACCTGGACGATCTTCGAAGTTCGAAGGACAAGGGGTTGCATATGACAGGACTGCAGGGAACGGGATCCGAAACAGCACGAGCCAGCATGCTTCACGGAGATCTTGCCACGGATGTTGTCGCCAGCTCATCGTGCTGATCCGAGCTCCTACTTCTTCCTGCTTCTTCGTCTCCTCCCACTCCCCTCGTTCCTTGTACTTCTTCCTGCTTCTTCGTTTCCTCCTACTCCCTTTGTTCGAACTTTCATGCAATTGAGAGATCGCATAATTTTGGAACCCCCTGCGCATCACATATGTGACGAACCACTTCCCGACCCCGTGCTATCTTCCGGACCCCTTGACTCAATACCCCCTGTTTGTATCATACCGACCCCACAAAACCCCCGTCGCTTTTCTTGATTTCAGGCGCCTTGTTTGGGCCCCCATTTTTCGAAAGTTCTATCGATTCTTGGAATTCTGCTTTTTGTAATGCGGGAAATGCATGGGAAATTACGCGCGCCTTAGCGAGCGCACTAGGTATCGGGCTCGACAGTTAGGAATTACGGAATAAGCGGAGCCCGACGTATCTTTTTCCTTGCATGAATGTTCTCGGTCACGTCGGGGAAAACTTTAGGAATTTTGTGAGAATACGGACAGGCATAGGAATTTCTTTTCCCGCGTCGACTTTCGCGCGCGGATATGGCGATTTCAATTTTTGAATTGGTGTAGGACATAGGCAAGCTGTAACTGTTTTGGTGCCTTTTTTTTCCTGTTGTCCGCACCGCGCATGCAAGCTTCCTCCTCCTTATTTCCCGCGTCCTTCTTCCCCCACGCTCTCTTCTCTCTCCCTTCCCCCCCCCCTCCTTTTCTTCCCC